AGTGTTTCAAAATAAAACAGGAAGTGAGTAGATGCAGGTGAGGGAATAAAGCTCAATAGTGTTTCAAAATAAAGCAGGAAGTGACTAAACAGAGACCCAGAATGACTGTGCTAAGACTAAAGCAAATCTGGCCTCTGATTGTAAAACTTTGATCCAGATGAATTTAAGTCGAGTTTGATTTCATGAGGTCGACTCTGTAGATTAGAGTGAAGCAGCAGACAGCTTCGGCCAAAAAGCTGAACGTGAGACCTGAAGTGTGTTTTAAAGACAGCCGCAGGAAGGCTTCAGCGAGCACAAACAGCAGAAACACACAAAACACAAAAAAGCACATGTTTTGTAGCTATTTGCGAGGGATGTTCGTGTCCGTGCGGGTTTGTTTGTTGTGGTGGAGATCCTGCACTGACCTCGAGGCAGCAGCGACGTACAGGGAAAAACATGAAGAAAACTGCCGGAGAGCAAAGATGCAAACAATGCAGAAGTGGAAAAACATTCCACGTTTGTCAACGAAAGTTTGGTTTCTGGAAAAATTCCACCTTTTACACGCACAGTAGGTAATTTGTGCTTCTCTCGCTACAGAAGAATGGCCAAAATCAGAGATGCACCACTGAAAGATGTGATTCATGCTTCATTTAATTGCTTGAAAGGAGGTCATTTGTCATTTCTGGCATTTTCTAAAATAAGTGATTAATCATTTAACTAAGAAATAGCACTTTTATTGCCAGTGAATGCAATTCAGTTGCAGGTTTAATTAAAAAACGCTGCCCTTATAACACGCGCTAAATACTTTCTGCCGTGGATGCACCGTCCAGCGCCCATCTGCTCTCGCTGAACTCAAACATTTCAGAAATGACTCGGGAGCCGCCACACGCCGCCACGAAACTCAAACTCACCGTTTATCCGGTCAGCCTCCCAGACGCGTCCTCCGCCATCTTCTTCTCTCTGTCCACGAGCAGCTCCCGCCCTCGCCTCGAGTCCTCCAGCCAGGTCCCGAACACCTCCCGCACTCCTCCGAGGACGCCCCCGTTCCGTCCCCCGTTCTTCAGCTCCGCCACGCTCTGCTGCCTCAGTCTGTCGGGCCGAGAGCGTCACGTTAGATGGAGCACATAGCAGGAAATAGATTTTAACATTTGAAACAGCGAGAGTGTCGACTGATGTGGAATCACGGATGCTTTAGGAGTTTAACGAGTGCCCACAGAGCTCTGCTGGGGACGCTTTGGTGCAGCCAGCAGTTAAAACCTGTGTTCAGTGTTACTCTTAGCACCTGTCGCTGTTTTCACCTGTCTCGTTAGAGTCACGTAGTGACGATCAGTCCTATAATGATGCCGTCTGTTCAAGATTGATAAATAAAACAATAAAAAAAGATTAAAAAATAATTAACGGTGAGGTAAAAATGTGAAATTAACGAGAGGGAAAGCATAAATGCCGTCCTGGCCCTAAGAAGGTTTAGATTTTCTCGTCATTAAAAACAGCCTGAAGCTGTTAAAGGAAACTAAGTGTTTTAGTTTCAGTGTCTCCGTGACGAGCAGCCACACGTGAAGCAAACATGAAAAAAAGGTGAAAGTGCGATCAGCCCACACAAAGAAACTGGACTAAAAACCAGTCGTTTGTCCTTCAGCACCAACAAGAGCTGTCAATCAGATTTTTTGAGATGCCACTGAGGTGATTGCGCACAATCATATTTAACGCGAGTGGGTCATAAGTGGAGCGTTTTTAATTATAACGAGGAGAAACTAATCACCGCAATAATTTAAAACTGAAGGAGGAAATTCTGTGGAAACAGAGCGAACCCACACATGACGAGCCTCTGTCACAGCCACGGGAACACAGAGACGAGCTGCGCGTTCGTGCTTTAAATCAGGCTTTACATCGGCAAATAAAAGGACACGATTAACCCCGAACTCCCATCTGAGCGCCGCTGACAGTTTCCTTTATCGCTCTGCATTGTTGGGCCGTACATCGCACGTCACGCGGCGCGCTTTGTTGCAGAGTTTATGAAATAAACAGCAGCCAGAAGGATTCGAGTGTGCTGTCAGTGCAGGTTCACGCCGCGGTGTTTTCAAAGGCTGAGCCAGAAACCCAGAGCAGGCTCACGGGAAGAATAAAAGGCTTGCCCAAATTATAGTGGAGATATTGGTTTCCAACGTAATGGCTGTGTTATTTGGCCAAACATGTCCCAAGCTCCTTGAAGGAGAGGCAGACTAAATAGAGTCATGTCGATTTGTAGGTTAATGTCCTGAAAACAATGTTAATGTGGCAACTAGAAAACAGCAGCACAAGCCCGCCGAGGGGAAGCGCAAATTTACTTTGGCTGCACAGGTCACCACAAAAGGTGCCAGTGGGTAGAAAACGGTGCTGAAAGTACCAGGGGTGCAGTTCGGTAAACACTGACTGCACGAATTATCGAGGAGACGCGAAGGAGCGAGGTGGAATTTGGTGACTGGGATATAGGAATAAGATTGACTCGACTCTTTATGAAAAATTATATTCATTTCTATCATTTCATCTACATAATAAAGGAGGTGGTCACACTGAGAAACGGGGGAATTATAGAGGGCTGTCAGCAGCTGTCAGTGTAGGACTACGTATCCGTGATTTCAGGGCTTAATTTGCTGTTTCTCTGCCAATTGTGGCAAATTATTCAGTCACTTTACATATACTTACGCAGCATTGTAAGAGTCCTTCACTACACTGCTTTTAAAAACATTTCAGTAAAACAGCAAAAGCAGAAAAACTTCCACATTATATCTTCATCCTGTTCTCGTTCGCAGGGCACCGAATCAAAGCGCTTCTCAAATGTAAGACTGAAACCTTAAATCACATCTCTGATCGACACACCGGGCTGAGACTGAGCGTTTCCTTCTTTGTGTTTTCACAGACTCGTATTGATGTCTTGATTAACTTGTTGATCTTGAATCATGATAGCCATCACTCCGCTTTAAAACCTTTAAAATCTTCTTGTAGATCAAACGAGGGCAGATAAATGGAGAACGACATGCAGCTTAAATTCCATTAACAGTTTAGTTTTCTTTATTCTGATTGTTTGCTTTATGTAAAAATGTAATCGTAAACATTTCACAGTAATTTTATCTGCCTGCGTGACTGGTTAAACAAAGGGTTTCGACATTCATTACACAGGCCTGCAGGCCGGTCTGTATGGAAGCCACCAACTGGTAAATGTTTACAGACAAGTCTGTGGCTTCCATACAAATTACAGACAACTGCAGCAACCTGTTAGAGACCAAAACAATTCTAAGGAGGTTTTCAGTGCAGCACTGTGGACCTCTTTGTGACCAATTTGATGCTAGCATATTCCACCAAACCCTCGCGAATGCTTGCAAAATACACACCTTTCCACTTACGACCAGTGGCTACCAGTGGATTGAAACTTACTATCCAGCAAAACGTGAACCGAAAGTCGTCAAGGGGAAATAAACCATGGACTCTTAGCTGGTAAAGTTTCAACTTTCAAAATTAGCGGTACTTAGAAGATACCTCATAAGGTTGACATCCACAGCAAATGAAAATGCTTTTCATAAAAAATCTTCTAACGTTTTTAACTTAGGTTTCCGAAAATTTGCCTATTCAGCATGAGGTTAAAATAAAACCCTACCATAACCATGGATGTGTCTGTAGTGGTCCAGGTCTGGAGGTGACTAAGAGGCTAATCGCTAACAACAGCTTGCCTTTCAATTATTTATTTGACCTATTTGGCAAACCCAAATGGAACTCTTACAATATAATTTAAAAGAACTTTTAAAAGCAAACATCTTCTCATTTCTGAATCTATGATTGTTTAGCATGTGGCTAAAACCTAGTTAACCCTACCCATAAGGCCATCTCTTGGACTGTATGAGGAAAACCACTTTATATTCTGTGTATGTCTGCTAAACAGTCTGCTAAACAGAAAACATGTCAAAGTAAAGAACTGTGAATTAAGTACCTGCCAGCAAACTGGTCTTGGAGCTCATCGTGCTGTTGATTGTTGAGGCTGGTGCGCTGGTCCATCAGCCAGCCCATCTCAACCTCCAGCACCTTACTGTTGTTGTTTGTTACGGCTCCTTCCTGACAGCGCTGGATGATACTGGGTGGAACGTTTTCAGGGGAACACATAGGCAGCCCCTGTCCTCCATTCACGCCATTGTTGTGAAAAAGTTCTGCCAAGTCCATGCTGCCGCTCTGCAGCCGACTATCGGTGAACCAGCGGGCCAGTTCTCCGCGAGCCAGTCCTGTCCGACCCTCCAGCTGGCTGAACTCCTCAGGGGAAGGCCACCGCGTTTGAGCAAAATCGTCCTTGAGGAGCGCCAGGGATCGGCCGTCTGGAGGCACTGAGCAGGAATTCAGATTAGGGACGGAAGGTGCAATGGTGCCAGGAGCAATCATGGACAGGGGGTGTGAAGTTGGTGGAGAGCTTTTAAGGAGGCCTACACCGGTGCTTGGTTTGTGAATCCCATTCAGTTGCAGTGCTTGGTGCTGATGTAGCTGCTTCTCAGTGATGGCACCAATGCCATTGCCGCCCATCCTTTTAGTGCCCATGGAGTTCAGAAGGGCTTGCTCCAGGTTGTCTCGAAGCGCGCGGCGCTCTGCAAACCAGCTGTCGATTTCCTGATGAGACAGGCGGGTTATGGCCGACAGATTATCCACGTCGCTGTGTGTAGGAAAGCTATTCCGCAAGAAGTTCTCCTCCAAGATCTTCAGTTGTTTTGCCGTTTTTCCTTTCATCCTCTCCAGCAAGGGGAACTGGGTCAGCACCGAGGACTTATGTTGAAAATCTGGTTTTGGTACTGCTGGGATGTCCCCACCGTCCAAATGTAAGATTCCATTATTGTGACCAGGAGAGGTCGGATCATAGGGCCATTTCCCGTCCATTCGAGACGTTCCATTGGCCTCTGGCAGAGGACTGACTACCTTGTCTCCTCTGGGGTAGCTGGCTTTCAGCTCCACTCCTTGCTGCTCTTTTAATTTCTTGCCATCCAAGGAGAACGCTGAAATCTGGGATGGAGCTTTAGCCGGAGCACGGATGGACTGGATAATTGTCGGCCTCCTTACCTGTGAAGTAATGAGCGGAGGGGAGTTCGGCAAATTTAAATCAGAAGCTGGCAAATTGTGAGAACTGGGGTGTTTTTCTTTGGAAGGGACGGGCACGGTACGGGGAACAAGTAAACTGTTTCTGAACGGAGAGACAGAGATCGGTGGGGGGGCAATCATTGGCCTTGTTAACGACTCTGGAAAGACTATGGAGGGCAGAGACACCACCGGCTTTGTTTTGGGATTTCCTGACGCCGAGAGAATCTTCCCTTTGGAAGACAAAGATGATGATGACAACGATGGAGGCGGTGGCATTAAAGGCACAGCAGCGGATGACCTCTTCATCTCTGTGGTAACCAGAGGAACTGCTACAGGTCTTTTCATCTCCATGGGAACAAGAGGTGGAGCCATTGGGAGGCGGCCTTTTGGGGGAGGAGGTGGTGGGGGAGGAGCCATTAGGACCTTGTCTTTAGGGTCACCAGAGTGGGGCGCCACTGCCATGATGGGTCGCTTGGACTCAAACACTGTTGACAGCTGTGTCGGCAGGGGTCGCTTAAGGGAGTGGCTAGAGCCTGCCGGGGAGTTTGTGGTGACTACAGTTAGCCCATTGGGCGCAGTCGTCCGGACGTGACTGAGATGCTCGACTGTCGTGTGGACGATGGGCTGCTGTGAGGCTTTGGCAGACGGCTGAGAGATGGGGCTTGTAGGCAAGACGGTGAACGTGTGATGAGCAGGAGGGATGGAGCCATTAAACATTTTCTTCCTGGCTTCCTCCACCTCTTCCGGGGACCAAGTGATACCTTGCTTCAGCCGCTGGGTAGTGAACCAGACTTTGATCTGTTCCTCCGGGTGCTTGGAGGCAGCTGTAAGCCATGACAGCTCAGCATGCGTTGGGTATGGGAATTTATTAAAGGAGGCCATCAGCGTCAGGTTGTTGTCTAAAGAAGGGTTATATTTGGTGGTGTTCAAGGGAACGGCTATTTTTGGTACAGAGTTAAAGTTGGGTGGACGCTGGAGCATTGGGGTGACATGGGAGAGCCCTTGGACGATGGTGGGTTCAGGGATGATGACTGTTCCGTTGATGTTCACTGCTGTGATTTGGTCCTTCTGGATCAAACCGTCCAGCTGGCTTTTCAGTTCGCTCCCTCCAAAGAGCGTGTGCACACTACCCGGAGACTTCACTGTGGTAGATATGCAAGGTGGAAACACAGAGCTACTGTGGCTTTCACCTTTTTCATTTGTCACGTCGCATTCAGCTGAATTGTCCTTGCCTTCGATTGTCTGCTCTAAGATAGTCTGATTGTTCATTTTTATCCTCTTGAACTTGAAGTTCGTCTCACCTGGGTGCCGGCTCTCGTTGTGCTCTGTGAGCGAGTCAAACTTCTTGGTGTTGAAGTTGCAGACAGCACAGAGGTACAGAGGATTTAGAATGACGTTAGGATGGCTCGAGTCCACGTGTTCTTTGAAGTCATTCAGGTTCTGCGTCGAAAACGGGCAGTATTTGCACTCGTAACCTCTTCCCTGCTTCTTCTGGGACACCGGGTCTGATTCTGGTGCTTCTTTGTCCTTCCCCCCTCTGGCTTCTACATCTTCGATGACAGGGGGGTGATCTTCACATCCAGACTGCTGCTCTTTGTCTAAGTGTTTTGGAAATGCCTTCCGGTCTGGATTATCTCCATTATCCTTCATGAGGTTTTGACTCTTTTTCGCAGATTCAGGTGGTTCATTTTCTCTCACATCTTTGCTTGCCAATATTTCCATGTCCATCACCTCCTCCGGGTCATCTTGTTCATCAGGCAGGTCGCTGATGACCCGGACCATGCAGGGGGTGGAGGACTTTCTACGACTGGACATGATTGCGGCTGCTGCTGCTGCTGCTGGTGATGATGGTGGTGCTGGTGTTGCTGATTGTGTTGACGATATTGTTTTTGGCTGCTGCTGCTGCTGCTGGTGCTGGTCGAGGACGTCAGCGTGTCTGCGTTGGGGGGTCCTTACTGGGGCGGAACGGAGCAGGTGGTTGTGGAAAGTGGTAGGCGGTTGGATGTGGAGTCTCCAGTGTGTGAGAGGGAGGGCGAGAACCGGCTGACGGCGCTGGCCCAGGACCGGTTGTGCAGTGGCGTCTCCCGCTCACTGGCAGTGTCAGCTACCGACCTCGGCGTCATGGGAGGGCATCACAGACAGCAGCGGCGTTCAAGCTGCGTGGGGACGAAGACAAAGAGAGAAAACGACACATTAATACTGTTTGTGTTCAGTGAGCTGTGAGGAAGCCACTTAGAAAGGGCTAAAAATCTGAGAAAAACATGTCGGAGAGAGAAAGACGTCACTACAAAAATGTTTGTGTCTGATGTTCACTCCAAACAGGATAAACAACAGGGAAAGTGCATGATGGGCAATGGAAGAAAGAGGGGAAAACTAGATAATCTGCACTTTGGTAAACAAGCCTTTTTTGATGAAACATCCTTTGTTTGAGCAAGGTGAAATCAGCACAGGAACAGGAAAAAAGTGGAGAGAATCACTTATAGGGATACAGTTTTAATCAAAAGTTTATCATCTTGGACATGAATGTTTTAGTAATGCTGGGCTTTCATATTTCACAATCTCTGAGAACTTTTTCTGGAGCTGAATTATTTCACAACCTCTAAGATTATGAGAAAAAGAAACAAACTCAATAATTTAGTGAAAAAGTTTTAATTTATTTTAGATTTCCTGAAATAAACACAGGGTGAAAATAATATATGCGAGGTCAAGAACATTTATACACCCACTCTAACCAGCCACGGTGGATTCTCTGTGCCAACACATAAAGGGAAATCGTTCGACTGACCGATGCACGGCGACATGTGAAAATCTGGGGAGCTTAGATAAGTCAGGGATATCTTGGAGTCATTTCTAAAGGACTGCATGTTCCAAGATCATCCGTTCAATTCACTGTTTCTTCTCAGGAAGTGCAGCTACTGTGCCAAGGTCTGAAAAACTATCCAAACTTTCACCCTCAGCTGCTCTGGTTGGTCCGAACAGACCTGCCATGAACTGGAAACGGCTCAAACATCAGCGTTACCGCCTGCTGTCCAGATCCCCAGTGGCTAAAATACGGACACCTCAACTAAAGTTTGAAACTGGCCGAGTGCACAGTGAAAAATGTCCTCTGAACCAAAGTTTTAATTGGTTGCATCATCTTATATTAACTATATAACTGTTGTTGCCAGACCGAGCTAAACCCACAAAGTCAGCACCGCAAACAGAACGTATCGAACAAGATTACCAAACCAGAGACGCTGCCTACCAGCGTCAAATCAGCTGTTTATGCTGATGACGGGTCGTTTAAACACACAACAGGTTTCTGGATTTGTCGACCGTGAACAGACTCTATCTAGAACGGTGTAGTCCATAGACTGGCTCCAGGTTTCAAAGTTCAGCACTAAAGGCCAGACCCTTTTCTAAAGTCAAGTCTTCATCAATAGTTATCAGGAGAGCTGGGAAAGCTGTCACTGTGAATCTGCCAAGGCTAAACTTAAAAACTATCACCACAAAGTCCCAAAACAAGCAGACTGATGAAAGCTTACACAAAGAAAATTAAGTCCAGCCATGGGAAGGACGGGAAAACATTTTATTTGCTTTTTTGCACATGGAGAACCTGGAACGGTCCGTGCTAGTGTTTTCTCTAACATGCGTGGATGTAGTCACCTATCGGTTAGTAAAGTCCGGTCTTAATGTTCGCCGTGGCCACACACCTGACAGTCAGACGGTAGGCCCACCTGCTTTAAGTTGTTACTGGAATGGGACAAAAACTTTACGAGGTTAATGTTTGTTCAGCGAGACGTGAAACTAGCGCCGGAGACCACAAACTCATCAGGAAAGTGTTACCGAGGCCGCAGATCAAGTGAGCCGAGGGCCACAGACTAGAGGAGTCGCCCCCTGTGGGCCAAAAGAAAGAAGGCAGGTTTATGGCACTATCAGGCCTAGATGTTGATTGTCCCCATACATCTGTAATCTAAACAGGGACTTACTACTTGCTCCTATGGTTACTAGAGAGAGTAATTATTACTCTACTGACCTCTAGATGCTTCTCGCAGGCTCTGCTAGGCTAATAATTTCAAGCATTCCCGTAGGAAGGCTACAGAGTACCTATAACCATGTTAGGGAAACAAAGTCAGCCATTTTTACTGCCCACAAGTCATGGCGAAACCCTCTGGAGCAGATCTGATCATTTTGTAACTCCCCATCCAAAGATGGGAGGTTCCAAGCTTAATTAGCGACGTGATATTTTGCGTCTCCTTTCCTGTAATGTCCGAGCCAGGTAGGTCAGGTCTGTTGGCGCTCATCTTAGCATCGCACCGGCTCCGTCGGGTCCGGTCTAATCAGGCCCTGGCAGGCGACAGCGTTTGCTGACAACACCAGAAGTTAAAAATAAAGGAAGTCCGGCTGACAACTCGAGACGCCACGCTCGAAATTATGATGAATCAGAGTGCCACTTAATCAGGACACGCCGTTCCAGGCCAATCACATGTAAATGCGATAAATTGAAGACGTCCACGGCAACTACAAAAGACAAAAAAAAGTCTCCAAACTCCAAACCCCATTAAAAAGACATTAAGCGCCTTTCATAGATTCGGGCAAAGACAACTTCACAGGATAATTACCCTGTAATCATGTAATAAGAGAGACTCAGTGATGAGATCTCCTGACAGCTATCATCCACACAATGGATCGGAGAGAGTGAGGTAAAAACAGACGGGGAGAGAGAGGAAGATAGGTGTGAATAAATACAGAAGAGTGCAATAATAAAAGGAGGACAAAAGGAAAAAAGCAGGTAAATGGGAGGAGAGAGAGGAGAGAGAGTGGCGAAGGCGCGCAGAGATAAGGGGAAAAAGAAAGAAGGGAGAGTCTGAAAACTTCCAAGCTAATGAAAGAGAACAGGCACAAAGCAGAAGACGTTTTAACTAGGCCATGGCCTGGCAGACAGAAAGAGAGAGACGACGGCGAAAGAATGGAGGAGAAGAAGAGCGAGAAAAGAACGCAGATAAACATAAAGGAGGAGGAGGAGAGGAAAGGGACAACAGAGTGTTTCAGGAGGAAGAAAAAGGGAGACGGGGAAAGATAAGCAGAGAGCAGAGGAACAGAGAGTAAGAGGCACAATCGAAAGCAGATGAAGAGAACGAGAGAGATGAGAGGACGACCAAAACATTTCCATTTGACAGTAAAATTTTAACGGATAATAAAATGAGGTTTTGGTGCACTTTCTATCAGGAAAGTTGACGCTTTGAAAAGGTGCCCCAATCAGTTGGGGGAAAAACACATTTGCCAGGGAAAAAAATGGGTACTTCAACACTTAATTAGTATTGGGCAAGCTGTTATTTGTCCCATGTGTCACTTAATGCTGGACATATTTCATGCTCTCGCAGCCTTGATCAGCTTCTCATCGCCTGCACGGGAGACACATTTTATAGCTGCAGAGTATCCAGAGCCCGTTTGAATTGTTGCACTGTGCAATGAGACTGAACTAATCCTATGTTATTATAAATCTCATGCATTTACATTGCTGCTTATTGCACGCTTCGGCTAATGGCGTTTCCTCAAACAACGAGCATAAAAACACCGACAATCAATTCATAAAAAAACGACTCGACGGCGAACCCAAACGTGTCCGACGCGCTCGCCTCGAGGAGTTCAAAATTTCAGTCCCAAACCTCGCTTGAAAGAACCGAACGCACCGCGGGGCGAATAGATGCAATCCAGAGTCCACCTCCTCTCTCCGGCTGCCTCTAATACCTGCTGCAGCGCAGCATGACCCGACCCCGCGCAACCTGATTAGACTCAATATGGTTTTGGAGCCAGCCCAACTCAGGTCCCTGGGTCAGGTCTCGGTTACTGGGTAACCAGAGCGGCCTGTGAGGACCTGTAGCCTGCAGCGCCAGAGAACCGGAGAGTTCACAAGTTTAAAAAGTTTCACTTGGAAATTATTTAAAAATGACTCTGATAGGAGTAAAGGGCAGGCCGTTCTGCTTCTCCCGATTTAAATCTGTGTCGGTGAAGTCTGTGTGAGGATTTCTAATATGGTCATCTTAGCCACAGAAGCCCCACCCACCGTTTAAGAGGGGCGCCCAATCAAAAGAATATTAGCTTAATGGACCAAAGCGCTGCACCAGGTCCCAGCGTAAGAGACGTGGCTCAGTCTGAGACTGAAAACACGGAGCTGGAAACGAGCAGAACGCCACATCACCGTTTACTTCCTGCTTCGCCGCGACGCTTCTCTACCAGCCATCTCCGCCCACACATCCATAGTGTTTCCTCTGTGAAGAGAAACCCACACAGGCACGAGGAGCCTCAGCCGGGACTCAAACCCAAGACCTTCACGCCGTGCGGCACCAATGAACCACCGACCCTGCAGCTGACGGGAAGATGCAGTGAAGGATGTAAAAACATAACCATACAAAAGTTTGGCGTGGGGCACGGAAGAGACACGCTGAAGTGTCCGGTTCAGGCCTCGTGGACGTATCTGAGCGTTTCACAGGATCCCAAACTGCAACGTGAGTTTAATGAGGCTGAGAAACGTTTTTCTAAAGACATCTCGTGCCGTTCGTCATCTGTTTGTTAATGAAATGCTCATTAAATGAGAAAAATAATCCAACAACCTGTTGTCTGGCTAATTTTAAACCGAGCGTGGCAGCGGTTGTTTTTCACCTGCTTCCAGCTTTTATAAAATCTTGGCTCCGCTTCAGGAGACACATTTATTCACGCTCAACGGGAAAAATTTGGAATATTTGCATCGTTTTACTGACCCAGCCAGCTCACCCCTGCTTTAAAGGCGAGTTGCAGTTACATGTTATTTAATAATGAGGCTCGATTAAACACTTTGTGTCCATTAAATTAAGATTTTATAGTTTAACGCAGAAATGCATCCAGTAACCTTCAAAGAGAGGCTGCAGAAACGCTCTGTTGCTCTTTACACCCACACAAGCTGCAACGCTCCAATATGAGCCACACCCACATTTCCAGACACGGAGGATAACCCGCTGCAGCATCGTCCACCCTAACCTGTGAGAGGAAGCAGCTGATCACAGCTTTTAGAGATGCCCAGGTGCGCGTTTACGCTAAAACGGGAGTTAAGCTGCTCTTAAAAGGCACTCCAGGAAACGGTGCACTAATAACCCAATAAAGCAATCAATACGCAGCCCTAATACGGGCCAAATTCTAG